TAGATATAGCAAGTTGTAAAGAATCACCGACTTGTTTCGCAAGTTATGACAGATAGAGGTATTGAAAACTTGACCCCTTGTGGGTCATGTACCGGAAGGGGTTCGCAGATATATACCATCTTCACAACAAATATTGTGTTAGCGAAAATGTTTGTATGTGTGAAATCTAAAGAGAGTTGGATGATTATTTCGCTTTCTTTCAGTTTTGTTTTTCAAAATCTTGAACTCAGTGTGGGGAGGTACCAGAAGAAATGATCCGATCTCTACCATCTTTATAACAGATCTTGTGTTGATGGAAATTTTGAGATGTACCAAATCTGAATGAAATCGAATAATTTCGCGTCTTATGAGCTTCAAGGATATTCAAAATGTTGACATTTTGTGGGGATGGTACCAGAGGTAGTGGATCGATATATTCCATATTCACAGCAGACCGTGGGTTAATAAATATATTCTGATCTGTGTAATTTGAAGACAATCGGAAATTTTCATCACATTTTATAAAAGTTATGATTATTCAAAATGTTTACCTTTTTGTGGGGGAGGTACGTGATGGAATGGACCAATATTACCCATTTTCGCAACTGACCTATCACTGATCCAAATATTAGCATGTGCTAAGTTGGAGCACAATCGCGTTGTCCATTTTTTTCTGTGCAGTAAAATACTTTCTTTGAAAAGGCAAATGAACCCGACAAAGTGCGTAAGCTTCGCTGCAACAGTGGAAAAGCATACACAAATCAGAAGGGTCTTACGACTTCCGCAAAACGAAATTCAATTTACATTTTAAGTCTCCGAATAAGGATACCTTTCGAATAGGTGATGAACTTGACATGAAAATAAAATTCGATGAAGACGAAAATACAAATTTAATTTGGCAAAATGAACTTCACTTAAAAGCAGCACAGCTAGCTCAAAACTCACTGAATACAGAAGTACCATCTGATGAGCACTATTTTTGTACTTTCGACATTCAAAAAGCATTACCAAAGCTATCAACAATTGTTGCTTATTACAACCGGAACATCAACTATATTTAGTCATATAATGAAGAATTTATTTCATTTTTTTTGACTTGGTTCTATTGCTATAAAACCTTTGAATTTTATTCAGAGTAATAATGAACCAAGGCAAGTTTTTTTTATTTTTGAATATTTTTTAGTAATATATTTAAATTATTTTTCTTTTAAATTAATATCATTAGTTAATTTTGAATGTAGACTTTTACATTTTCTTTTGGTAGACTAAGATATTGCTTCTAGAAATTAATTGCAGTGCATTAACTTTACCTCTAAATATCTTGGAATTATGTTTTTATGACTTAGTTCGGTATAGCTGTGAGCCCTTCATATCACTTCGAGAAGGATTATATTAACAAAATATATATGTCGGAGCCGAGTTACACCAAATGGAAACGCACGTCCCGAAATTCACTCCATTTAGGCTGATATTTGCCAGTATTTGCACAATAAACCTGAAATCGGATTAAGGATATATATGGGAGCTATAAAAAATCTTAGTCGATGTCGATAAAATTTGGCAAATGTATTTTCGAGCTCTATAAAATATGTGGTACTAAATATCATTGTTGTCGAATACATATTACGAATGTAAGGGACTTAAACTCCAAATCGGATGAAACATATACAGGGTTGCCCATATTCGACGGACCCATCTGCCAACGTCATAACTTTTGACAGAGATGTCACATCGCTTAATGACATACCGCGTCTGAAGCGTCAGTCCAAGCAGATTTTTACCATGAACCAATACACGCCACGCGAAATAGTTGAAATTTATATTCAACAGAAGAAATCAATTGTGAAAACTCAACGTGCTTTTAAAACATTAAAAAATGTGAGAAGTGCGCCTTCTAAGAACACCATTAAGCGTTTATACGAAAAATTTTCGACTGGTAAGGCTCTTTCTAATCCGAAGAGGCCATATAAAAGTCGACCAAGGCGATCGGTCGAGAATATCGCTGCCGTACGAGCCAGTGTTGAGAGGTCCCCAAGAACATCCCAAAAACGCCGTTCTCAGCAGTTGGGCATGGCTCGGTCAACTTTACAATGAATTATTCGCATTGATTTGCATTTGTTCCCGTACCAAATTCAATTGACGCAAAGAATGTTGCCTGCGGACAAGCCTCGTCGATTGGAATGGGTCATGGGTCCGTCGAATATGGGCAACACTGTATATGGGAGCTATAGCTATATCTGAAACGAATTTTTTCCAAATTTAATGTACTTGCTTCTATTCTGAATTCGGTCGGATGTACCAAAATTCAGGTCATTTGGACAGATATTGGCCATTTGTTGCAAAATTAGTCCGAAATAGCTATATCTAAATTTGGACCGATTCTCTTCAATTTCAATAAGGTTTGTCTTTGGGCATAACAAATATTGTTTGGAAAATTTCATCTCGATCGGATAATAAATGCGACCTGCATTTTGTTTAGAAGAATACATGGACAGACACACAGACGGGCTGACATGCATAAATCGACTCAGAAAGTGATTCTATGAAGATCCTCAAAAGTAACTAGGGGTCTATCTCGCTTTCTTCTCCATTTTACAAACAAATTCACAAAGGCATAATACCCTTACCACTTACGTGGTGTAGGGTATATTAAAGTTTTCAATTATTGTCCGATTAAGAGGAAATGTACCACAAATCATTTGTTTGGGACGAGTCCTATTGAAATTGGTGGTAATCGGATCACAACTGGATATAGCTCCCATATATATCTTTGTCCGATTTCATGCGCCATATGCATATTCTTGCAAACAGGCACATCCGATCCAATTAATCCTTGAAGCAAGTACTTCAAATTTGTTTCAAATCTCTCAGATATAGCTATAGCTCTCATGCACATGTTTCATCCGATTTGGTGTTCACGTCCCTCAAATTCACAATATGCTCCCTAAAACAATGATATTTGTTACAAGATATCTTATACAGCTGAGAAATACCTCTGACTAACATATACAGGGTAAGATGAAAAACTGCAACCAACTTCAGACTGCTGTCATTTCTAAGCCACTCTTCCGACAACTGTGAAAATTATTCCAGTGACAGCTCATTACATTGTTTACAAGCGTACAAAAGCATTTTGGTGAGAATTTTCCAGAAAAAACTATTCGTGATGGAATTCAAGCGTGATTGTGTGGTTTCTTTATATTTCGCTGGAAAACCACAAGTGGCTACCGTTAGAGCACTCCAGCATTTAAATGTGAATAAATCTTTTGTGTCTCGTACCATCGCTCGTTACCGTGATATTGGTAGCGCAGCCCGGCGTGAAGCAAGTGGACGGAAAAAAACAGCAACAACAGCAGAAATGGTTCGAAAAGTAGTAAATATTGGAAAATGAGCTCGGGGTTAAGCCATTGAAATTCCAAAAAGTGCAAGAACTTACACTGCAACAAAAAGACAACAGAAAATAGACTCAAAAGAGCTGAAGAGTTGCTTCGCTTGGCCAAAAGTGGTGAACTGTCGAATTTGGTTTGCTCCGATGCGAAAACATTCGTTGTCCATCAGTTTGTAAACAAACAAAATGATCGTGTTTACCTGCCAAAGAGGTCACCTTAAAATGTGCACCTTCGGTTGGCTGCCAGAACTCAAGCGCCGGTCATGATGATGGTGTGGGCCATAAGAGCTGATGGTCGCTCTCCGCTCGTATTAATCGACCGTGACATCAGAATAAATGCCGAATATTATCGCAAAAACATTATGGAGGGTGTATTAAAGCCTTGTGCACGCAAACATTTTGGCCGCAGACATTGGACATTCCAACAGGACTCGCACTCAGCACGTGCCACCCAATAATAGTTCCAAATTGGGTTCCTCGCTTCATTTCCAGCGCATAATGGCTACAAAAATCTCCGGATACCAATCCGTTGGACTATTGTGTCTGGAGTATTTTGGAAAGCAAGGTTGACACTAAAAAATACCAAAGTGTCGATCACCTCAAGCAAGCGCTTCGCCGGGAATGTGCTAAAATACCGCAGAGCAACATTCGGGCAGAGTGTGACGGTATCATTGGTCGCTTGAAGGCCATAACTCGTGCCAAACTTATTCGAACAACTTATTCTGAAATTTGATGCTATTTCCGATATGTTTTGCTTTCATTCAATAAAATTTAAAAAGAAATGTAAAAATTATGGCGTTTGTCTTTGTTGCAGTTTTTTTCTCACCCTGTAGATCTAAATTTTAATACAGGACCGCTAGATCGATTGGCGATTTCAGTTATATTTTTGAACAAAATTTTGTGTAAATTAGCAGGTTGTGTTCTCTATTTTTAGGAAAAATCCATTCAAATAACTGTCTATATAGATCCACGTTGAGGTATAGTCCCCATGATTTGCGTGACATCTTTTGCCGAAATGGTTTCGATTTGGCATTTGGAGTTCATAATGGGTACTACCTCCTATGGCAGAAAATCGCTTATACACGTCCACACTTTCGTTTCATATAACCTCAATAAATTTGGTATTTTGGGGATTTGAGCTACGACTTATCTTAATTTCGGAGCTTGTAGTTCCCAATGGGTATTACTTCCTATGACAGAAAATTTCCTATACAGATCCAAGCCTTCGTATAGCAGCCTCCATTTAACAGAACCTCCCTAGGTATTTTTACGATGCTAGTTACATTTTTAAGATAATTATCTCAAACTTGATATTTGGAGTTCGTTATAGCCAACGCCCTTGCTGCCAAACAACTGTCTATAGTGGTCTACGTTTCCTTACAGCCTCATATAATAGGTACGTATTGCAAGTCCCTTCCAAATGGTGGAGGGTATAAAAGGTTTCTTGTTTGTGAAGTAACCTCCTTTGCCGAAGACCTTTAAGAAATTATGAGCATTTCAAGATTTCATATTATTATTTAACCTCTTCTAATTGTCTTCACGAAATTTCTCCAAATACTGAGTTGTGAAGTTATAATAATGTCCCATGTTCTACAAGAAATTATAGCAATTTTATATTTTTCTACAAACTTACCTCCATCAGCATATGTTTCACAGCCATAGCCATCTTGATAACCCAAATTCCAGGTGCCTTCATAACGTGCCGTTGACACGGTGCTTTCGCGGACACCATAACGTCCCTTGTGGCCCTCCTTGGACCATTCACCACGGTAAATGGTGCGACCCACCTGTTCAACGCCTAAACCATGGCGTCTGCCGTTCTGCCATTGACCCTCATAGTGGGAACCGCTATTAAATATGGTAAAGAGAATCGTTTTTTGTTTTGTTTTACAAATTGATGTGGTTTCGTTTTCATTTTCATTTAACGAAAAGTGCATAAAGAAATAATGAGAATAAAATAAATGAGCTCACCTTGGCCAGAGATAGGCACCCGAAACCTCAAAACCAAAATTCCAGGCGCCGGCATAGGCACCTTGATGTTTGGGTCCCGTACAGACACCGTGTCCATGGGCCTTGCCCTCATCCCAGCCGCCGCAGTAAGTGCCGCCATCTTCAAAATCGAAACGGCCGCCACTTACTGTGGTACGTTTTCCCAGCGGTGGCTGGTTGTTGGCGGCATCTGTATAGCTGCCAATACCACCATTTGCCTGTTGTTGTTGCTGCTGTTGTTGTTGTTGAGAAGAGTCGGCTTGTTGCATGGCCTTCGTTTAATGTTGTTTCGTTTTATGTTTTTTTATGATGAATTATTATCTATTGTGGGTATTATTATGGTTAGTGTTGTTGTTTTTGTTATTGCTGCGGGATGATGATGAGATTGTTTGGATTTGGAATACTTTAGCCTTTTATGCTTGCGGCAATTTTTCATTGACTTGTTTACTTGTTGTTCTAGCTGTACGCTGGCAATTTCATCAACAGCAATACTGCTCGCGGGCATTAGGGAGACCAGACCACACGGATGCGACGGCTCTGTTTTTCGTTTTCTGTGGACCAGATTTTCTCTTCTCGCTTGGCCGTTGCTCTCCTTGGAATTTGCAAGCGTTTTGTTTTCGTTTTCGAGGTCTGGGGAAAATTTGGCTTTATGAGAATGAGTTTATCTTTTTGTCGTTCTATGCTAGGCGATATCTGCTGCTGGTGCTGCTGCTCTCCTTCTTTAAATTGAAATCTTTGGCTTCTCGTTTTAATATCTCTTTTTAATCGTTATTTATTTTTTTATTTCTTGCTTGGTGTGTTGTGTATTTTCTTAATTTTTATGGGGATTTTTATTTGAAAATAAAATTTTTGTAGATGGGTATATGTATGTATAAAAAAAAACATATACATACACTCACTCACATATACATATATAAATATATAGACGTATATATAAATGGGCTGCACTCGTTTTTTGTGCTGTTCTTGACTTCTGTTTTATTTTTGTTGTTGTTTTTGTTGTGTGAACTAAAGTTATGATGAATTTTTGTTGCTGTTGTCGTCGTCGTCGTGTTTTTGGTTCTTCTTCCTTCTACGGTTGTATAATCGGGAAAAGTCAAAATCAAAAGGTGCTGCTTTGGCTTGGTTTTCTGTCGTTGACTTCTTAACCTCCTTTCGTGGTTAATGAATTTTCACTGTAACGCGAACAATTTTCAAAAATTGATTTGTACGGCATTCTTTAACTCGGCGGCGCTTTGCTTCAACCAAATTTGAGCTTTGTTTGTGTGCAAAGATTTCGTTGGTGTGGCTCCTTTGTGTGGATGTATGTGTGTGTGTGTGTGAGAGAGAGAATTATTTACTTTTCATTTGTAAAAGTTTCCATTGAAACGGGACACAATAGTTGTAAAGGAAACTTTAACTGCTACTATTTGCAATCGTCGTTGTTGTTGTTGTCGTCGTCGTCATCATCAGCACAGACTTATCGTCATCATCATCATCATCATGATAATCGTCATCAATGTAAATTATGACTGGAATGACACAATTTTTTATTTTATTTTCGATTACTTTGCTTTGGATTTGTTTTCTTTTGTTGTCGTTGTTTGTTTTTTTTTTTTTATTTTTTATTTGCCTTTTGTGACTTTATTTGCTGTGACCAGTTAAAGAACGAAAGCCAAAGAGGATATCATGGATTTCATTTGTCTACGAATAGTTTCTAGCATTTCCTTCAATGTGTACGTGTGTGTGTGTGAGTGTGTGTAAATGTCGTTTCCTTGCATGCGTACAAATTTTTATAGTCCTTTCCTAACTTAATTCATCACCGACATTCAAGGGTAAAGGGACACAAAGGCACACACACACACACACATGTACGAAAGGACGCGGAAGGAAGTATAAAAGGAAACATAGAAGTGGGTTAACACAAACATTCACTTAAATCGCTTCGGTCATCTAGTATGTCTATTTTCAAGAAAAACCAAAAAAAAACAGGTTAGGTCAAATGGTCAACAGTAGTTTGGTAAGGAAACGAAGAAAACACAAACGCACACACACGCACACCACAATAATCGATTATGTAAAGAGTTGTCAGATGGATAGACAAACAGACAGACAAATCATATGAAACCACAAAGGATTTACTTAAAAGTTATTTTATCTGTCAATTCAGGAAATAACAGAGCAGAGCAAAGCATAAACATTACGGCTAAGTGGGACTGGGAATTTTAGACGACATCAGGCAGTTGGAATCAGATTGATTTCTAAAGGTGCAGGCGAAGAATATTATATTTAAACGTTACAATGTCCATATGATTCTAGTTATTTTGCTTCAAATAGTCTGGAATAAGAGTCATAATCTCTAGAAATCCTATTCAACAAATATAAACAAACATTTTGAAATGGAAAAAAATCCTATGGCAAAAATAGTTATGAATTTTGAAATAAAGATTTTGAAATAAAGAAACATTTTAAATTTGTGGAAAAGCCAAAAGTCGGGCGAGGTCGACGATATGATACCCTACACCACTATGCATATTTAGTAGAGCTCCCGTAACAAAATAATTTATTTGAAGTAGATCATACCACCTATCAACATTTGGCTTTAGAGTAGTTATAGTTTGGTTTCAGAGGGAACTAACATATGATAGTTATATACCATTCTGAATCGATTTTCACGGAGCCGATCGGAGCCGAGTTCCACAAAATGGAAACGTACGTCCCGAAATTCACTCCATTTTGGCTGATAATAGCCATTATTTGCACAATAAACCTGAAATAGCATTAAGAATATATATGGAAGCTATACCCAAATCTTAGTCGTTCTCGATAAAATTTGGCAAAAGTATTTCTGAGCTCTATAAGATATCTTGTACCAAATATCATTGTTCTAGAATGCATATTACGAATATGAGGGACTTAAACACCAAATCATATGAAACATATATATGGCAGCTATAGCAATATCTGAACCGATTTTCTCCAAATTTAATGTACTTGCTTCTAGACTGAATTCGGTCGGATGTACCAAAATTCAGGTCATTAGGAATGATATTGGCCATTTGGCGCAAAATTAACCCGAAATCGGTTGAAGATATATATGGCCGCTGTATCCAAATCTGATTAAATCTTGATAAAATTTTGCAGAGGTATTTCCGAGCTCTATAAGATATCTGGTACAAAATATCATTGTAGTCGAATGCACTTAAAAACCAAATCAGATAAAACATATATATGGGAGCTATAGCTATATCTGAACCGATTTTCACCAAAATTTGTAGTACTTACTTCTAGACTGAATTCAGAAATTCAAACCATTTGGACTGATATAAGACATTTGTTGCACAAGAAACCTAAAATCGGATGAAGATATATATGGGAGCTTTATCCAAATCTGAACCGAACTTGATTAAATTTGAATGGCTAGGCTGTATCTGATATCTGTAAGGCACTTAAACACCAAAATCGGATGAAACATATATATGGGAGCTATAGCTATATTTGAACCGATTTTCACCAATTTTGAAGCACATGCTTGTAGGCTGAATTCGGTCGGATGTAGCAAATTCGGACTGATATTAGCCATTTGGTGCCCAAGAAACCTAATAGCGGATGTAGATATATGTGGGAGTTATATCTAAATTTGGACCGATTTTCAATAGGGTTCGTCTTTGAGCCAAAAAAAATGTTATTTAGAAAATCGAATAATAAATGCGACCTGCATTTTGATTACAAAAATACATGGACAGACGGACGGACATGCATAATTCGACTCAAAATGTGATTCTATGCTGATCACCAAAAGTAACTATGGATCTATCTCATTTCCTTCTCCATGTTACAAACAAATGCACAAAGACATAATACCCTTACCACTATGTGGTGTAAAGCATAAAAACAATAAAATTTTACTCGAGAAATGGTTAATGAAGAGCAACCCTCTGCTATCACATTAGTCCAAATTTAGTATAAAACAAATTATTAAAAATATATATGAATAATGTTTTAACACCATTTTGTTGATGATGTAAAAAATACTAAGAGTAAGAGTTAAGGTGAGAATATTTAAAAGGCTTTTTTGACTGGCTCAAGTCATAGGCTGAACAAAGGAGCGTTTTGCCAAAATCGAACTAAATCTGCCTAAAAATCTTTTGTTCCTCTATGAAGAAGCCAGTAGATGATTTAAGCCAGTCAAAAAAGCTTTTTATACTCTCACCTTAACTCTCACATCTGTTGGGAGAGAAATTTACTAAATTGAAACATATATTTATCGCAAAAAGGAGCACAATAATGAATTTGTATACATTCAAGTAAGAAAACAAACTAATTAAAAAAATAGAAAATATCTAGAAAAAATTTGGAACCCCATAACTTTCGTATAAAAATACCATATAAAAATTAGAAATAGTGCTCAAATGAAAAGTCTCAGAGAGTTCGTTCTGGATATATGGGAATTGTGGTGGAAAAGAATTTCGGTTACAACAAATAAGTATTTCTAAAGACGGAATTTTGAAGATTGGTGAATAAAATGTAAAATGAATAAAGGCAATAAACAATTTTTCTTAATTTACAATTAATTCTTCCAAATTAATTCGAACTTCATGGAGGTAAGGTACTTCAAAAATTGCATATACAGTTTTATGTCCAATTTTTTCAGTGTCAACTGGGGTTCTTATTTATAGTTACGGGGAGTTCGAAATTCATTTCTGTAATTGTGCTTATATTTGCTGGTATTTCTATACGAGTACTTTAGCATTCTTCCGACCTCAATGTAGTAATTTTTTTCTTTTTCTGAATTATATGTAACCGTCCCACTCTTTCTTCATTTTAATATTTGAGAACTTATGTAAAAATTCAAGCGGGTTGTTTTCTGTGGACAGCTGATTTTTGTTGTTTATTAAGATTACAATAAAAAAATAAATTTCCTAAGTATTGCTGCTGCTGCAAAATACCGAAAATGAGAAGATATCGTTGTTTTAAATATTTTCTTCGACAATAAACTCCCCTTTGGGTATCCAAAAGTGGGCCCAAATTAAATAATTTTGGAGTTAAACTTCCTAAACTACAGAACTCTCAAAATACCGAAAATGAGACATTCGAAAAAATAACGTTGGAACAAAAACCAAATGGATGGCCGAATTTATATGCAGTTTATTGACAGCCACCTCAGGCTCGATGATGTTAATTACTATTCCATTATCCATTTCTAATCCATCAGGATTCCAAATCGATTTTTTAATTATTTATTTTTTTTTCAGTTAGGTCCCACCGAAATGGCTTCGAACGGCATTCGAACCGGGCACAAAAATTTTGGTTAATAATGGCTGCAAGTAAATGATCTATGTACGATTTCACAAAATTTCCAAGAATCTGCTATTTTTACCAGTTTTACAATTTATACTAAAAAGAGATCCAAAATAGTTGTAAATAATGTCGCCCTTAAATCATTTTTATAGCCTACACCACAATAAGGTCAGGGTATAATGTCTGTGTATTTGTTTGTAACAGGCAAAAGGAAACGAGATACACCCATAGGTCCTTTTGATGATCTGCATAGAATCACATTCTTAGCCGATTTATGAATGTCCGACCGTCTATATGTCCATGTATTTTTGTTAACGCATTTATTGCCCAATCCATATGAAATTTTGCACGAGTAGTTTTTTTTGGCCCAAGGACGAACCCTATTGAAATTGGAGATAATCAGTCAAAGACTCCATACATATATTTGTCCGATTTTCCTTTTATTGTGCACTAAACGTGTAATATCAGCCCAAATAGTATGGAATTTTGCATTTACGACTAAATTTGATAAAAATCATTTCAGATATAGCTTTAGCTACTATATATTTTGTCCATCCGATTTGTTAGATTTTTATTTGTTATATGAAGCTCTACCAAATATAGAAAGGGCTGTAGTGTATCATAAAGTCGACCTCGACCGACCTTTAGACTTTCTTTGCTGGTTTTACGATATACACGAAGAAATCCTCTCACCTCTTATCATCGAAAAAATTCGAATCAGCAGATGTTGTCTTTGCCGTTTCAGAGGGATGAATCTAAATATTGAAGTCACGCAAAGCTAAAATGTTAAAAATACTAACCAGATTCTTACGGATTTACCGTCAGAGATAAACCCTTAAAATATGGACGTACATAGAAATGCATTTTAAAATAAGTTTAAGCTGGGGACGAATTAGAAAAAAATTACCATTCTCTTGAGGATATTACTGAAAATTAGCTATTTCGGAGGGAACCTTGCCCCAGGTCTCCCATCCGTCAGAACATATATCCGTCATACGTATATAAAGGAGTATGACCTTTAAAACTTTGGCGTTCTCTAGTTGCATAAAATATTTCCGATTTTTTGTATTCTTGTATACAAGTATTAAATCATAATTCATGTGTACATAATAATTCACTTCCTTCGAAATCCCAGTTTCTTGGAACTAATTTTCCGGTTCGCTCGTGGAAAAAGTCCTCACTTCCCAGAAGGCTGACCTGATAGCACTTAGTAAATACTTCAATATCTGTG